CTTAGCGAGAGAGAAAATATACGAGTGCATACAGCTAAAAGTAAAAAGCAAAGCAACAGTGTGTGTTGTGCAGTTTGAGATTGTTGGGGAAAAGTGATGCCCAGCACTGTCTTTTTTGTTCCAGGGCTTTTTTAATGGCAGCAGCAGCAGCTACTGAACTGAGAAGGAATTTGCATAAACTCTTCACCATCCATTTCAAATGTTTAATTCACACAACAGTCAAGGGGCAATATGAATTCCTCTCCAGTCATATGTAATATCAGCTTATTTCACATTTGACACTAGCTACAAAATTGAAATTATCATACAAAACCTTGTACACGAAATGGGCAAGAGGAGAAAACTGTTGCTGGCTTCACCTTCACCTCACTCTCCTTGAACAGCACCACACGCATTGGTGCTATGTGATTTTCTTCTCAGCACCACATTCTTTCTGTCTAGTAGAAATTATATTTAAAATTCAAACCATCCCAAAAATAAGATCCTGGAACAAAATGACATTTGTAGGCATTACTTTTCCTTCCCAATCCCTGAAGTGCTCACATAACACGGTGTTGTTCACATTCTTCTCGGGTTTATATGCCTTCACATTTTTTTCACTCTCACTGATGCAGGATCCCAAAAGGAACTGCTCCATTTGCTGATCCCACACTAAAGGAGAAAGCACTTGTTGGCTTTTACCTTCCCAATGCCGCCTTTCAGGAGCTCCGCTAGATGGTGGTGTGCACTTCCAAAAGAAATAAATGTATCAATGATTTCTAAAACACAAAATACGCAGATCTGGTGTAGAAAAAGTCTTGTCACTACCCTCAAACAAAATTCCAGGACAGCAATATCTAGCAGTAAATAAATATCTAATAATACATAAATATCTAACAGCAGTAAATATCTAACAGTAGTAATGTCTTGCACAGTTGGCTATCATGAAAAGAAGAATAGTGATTATCATGAACAGTTTTTTAGGCACAGAAGAGGAATCATTTAAATCATGTTTTTGTCTGCATCAGTCTCTGTTTTTACAGTTGTTTCAGGAGCAGAAGCCTTCTTAACTCCGGAGTAGTGAATCCAGGGTCCTTTGTCAGCAATTTTGATTGCAATGAGGGCAATCAGCAGGACTTGGAATGGTCCTCTCCACTTGGCTTACAGAGGATCACTGTCCCACCACTCAGCACAGACCCAGTCCCCAGGCTGGAAAGGCTGTGCAGGTGTGTCCTGTCCTATGGGTCTGGACAGCACGATATAATTCTGCACCTTCTGCAAAGTGGAACCTAAAGCCATTAGATATCTCTGTAAATCAAGTTTCCCCTTCATGTGAACTTCACCTGGAACATGTGGGATTTGATATGGCCTGCCATAAATTATTTCATGGGGACTGATGTTATCCCTCCACCTTGGTTGTTTGTGGATTCTCAGTAAAGCCATAGGCAAGGCCTGAACTCGTGTCATGGATGTTTCCTGACAGATTTTGCTGATTTGTGTTTTGAGAGACCCATTCATATGTTTAACTTTACCACTCACTTGGGGTCTATAAGGTGTATGCAGGTCCCAAGGAATTCCCCAAATCCAGACAACTTCTTTAACCACTGTTGCAACAGTGTGGTGCCCTACCTGATGACATCCCCAAGGGAACCCTGAACCTTGGAATTATATGATTGAGCAAAACTTTCCTCACTTCCTTGGTTGTGTGTTAGTGAGACAGGGGTAAGCTTCTGGCCATCCACTGAAGTTCCAGTGTGTACCAGTATCCCTCTTTGCATGGTAACTCTGCAAAATCTATTTACCAGTAATTCCAGGAAGTTCCCCTGCCTTTGTTACTCCTAAGACAATTCTCTTCCTTGTATCAGAGTTGTTTTTAAAGAAGATTTCACATTTGTTCACTACTGACTGTACAGTATCAGTCATTCTCTTTCCTATTACTACCTTTTTTAAATGTTTCAGAAGATTTTCAACCCCAAAATGTGTGTTTTCATGTTTTCTCTGAGCCAGCTCCTGAAGGATCAGGGGTGGGACTACAACCTGATTCACTGGTGTAACAGCCCATCCACTTTCTGTCATGTCCCTTTTGGAGCTAAGGCTGCTCAATATCTAAGGGGAATCAGGTTAAAACAAGTCTTCTATCTCTGATTGTTTATCATTTGGAAGTTTATAAATGCTAGATCATTCTGCTATCCTACATACAAAGAGAAAGGTCACCAGTTCTCTTCCAAAAACTGAAACAAGTGTCCTCCACACTCTGGCAAGCCATGTGCCAGAAGCATTTTTCTCTCAGAAGCAAAAAAAGGCAAAAGGATAAATTTGCTGTCAGTTATGCCAATGACACTTGAGGAAATACGTGAAATTCAGTTCTATATGGGGACAGAATTTGAGCAGAAATTAATTTTCAGACACCTGGGAATTTTTAAGTCAGTTTCTGTAACTTCCTGCAGGTAAAAGAAACCCTAATGTCTGTATTTATTTGATTTTTCCAATTTTCTGCTTGTACCTGCTGGTTTCAATTCAGCTTTAGAGTTTCCCCTGGCAGCTGAGAGCCTTCTTTTCCTTCTAGAGGCCAAAATGAAGGTGAAACAGGCACATGCCAGGTCTGTGTTACATCAGGAGAGGGTGCTCAAAGCTGGAAAGCTGTGAGGATCCTCTCCCTTGGCATCTGTGCCACTCCCACCTGTAAAACCTCAAATCCACACTTAGCACAGCCACTGAAACTGCTCTTTCTCCTCCTGCAGATTTGCTGACCAGCTTTTTACAGCTCTGCATTACAAATGCTAAAAAATATCATTTGAAGCTGGTATAGAAATAAAAACAGAGCTTGACTGGGGATGGGGTGACAGAGATTTCTTATATCTACCTGTAGAGCTAAACTTCCAAAAGCACTTGAATGTCTTTGGAGTGTAAGGATGAGATCTTCAAGGTACTTACATATTTATTTGCCATCAAAAAAACTTAAGCTGATCCAATTTTCTAAAAACATTTCTGTCAGTGCATTTTTCTTTCCTATGCAGATGTTTATAAATGAACGTAATGGTTGTACAAAGAAGCAAAAACTCTGTCACCCTTCCCAAGCTCAGCAGACAAACCAACCTGAACAGATGCAAGCTCACATGAACTTGAACTTAAAAGGTTAAATTTCCTTCCTGTTCCTTACACATTTTTCTTCATTTCTTTCCAAAAAGGACAGGACTCAAGAACACAGGATCTGGAGGATTTAACAGGCATAGCTGGAATTTGAGCTCTGCCTGCTGCCAAGTTTTATTATTGTGTTGTTGTGCTTCTCCTCACAACAACCACCACCACTTCCACAGACACAATATTTACCAAACATCACCTCTGAAGTTAAACACCCATAACCCTGAAAAACTCCAAATCCCACGGCTGTATGCACTGATGGGACCTGGGAGACAACAAAGACTGGTTTGATGGGACCAGTCCTATTCCAGGAGCATGGGAAACACACTGGTGAGGGGAGGGAAAGCACCAAGAGCTGAACACAGATTGCAGTCGCAGGGAGCTCATAAATCAGTATGCCAGCAGAAATCCAGAGTACACAGCAGCAGGGGGAAGGCAGACAGACAGCAGAGTACTGACAGGAATGGACCACACATGTCACAGCCACCAAGGAAATGGAGCAGAGGAGAAGCACTCCAGCTTCTCCCCACATCAGCAACCCTACCAGGAGCAGCATCAGCACAGGGGGCAGGCAGGCTCAACCCTCAGCCTTGCTGGTGGCAGATCAGTGAGCAGCTGCCAGAGAGTTCTCATAGTCCTGTGGGAAATGCTTCCTGGAGATATCCCAAAGCTGCTGGAGGGACTCTTTAAGTGGTAAACACTGGGTGCACTCCCCACCCTCCATTTCCACACTGCAATTCCCAGGCAAACGGCTTTGCTGTAGGAAGTAGGAAAGCTTTCCAGGTCCTGGGCTTGATTTTCAGCACAAACACAGCTCCTGAAGTCCAGGAGGGCAGCATTCCTCAGAGACAGGAGAGCAGGACTGAGCATGGGAACACTGGGACATGTAAGGCCCAAGAGGATAAAAGCCTCCCTGGGAATCACATGTGCTCTGATGTTCCTGCAGATCCCAGCAGTCACTCTTTGGTTTCCTTCTCCAGGAGCAGCACAAATCTTGTGCTGATGATCAGAAGACGCAAATGCACACAGCCATGACCTCAGCTGGTGGAAACCAGCCCAGCTTTTGGCTGCCAGCTGAGAGAAGCGATTGGTTGATGGGAGGTGCAAACCAAGACAAGAGCATCAGATATTTCCTTCCCTCTGCTACCTGGAAATAGAGTAGACTTGGCACTTTCAGACAATATCTCAGGAGATCTTTTGCCAGACAGACAGCAGATACACAGCTAAAGTAGCACACAATTAGTGGGTTTATGACGTAGAAAATGGATGACAAAGTCCTTCACTAAAGAACATGTGATCGGTCCTTGTTTACCAGTGACAAAGGAAACAGCAGGTCCTGAGCATGGAACCTCAGGCAGGACAAGGGCCTGGTGGCACATTCCAGCTGCTTGTGCTGGGAGAACAGAGCAGAGCCCAGCCCTGAAGGCAGCTCCTGCATAGTCACAGGAGCACCTGCAGGCTCAGAGGGACTTGCTGACACCCTGCTGCAACACTCTAAAGGGAAGAGCCAAAAAACACTGGACTGTGCAACACAACTGCTCCTCTGAACTGGGCTTGCTGCTGCCAGACCAGGTCAGATACAGCTCTGCTGTACCTGCAGTCAGTTTGGGAAAGGTGGTGTCAAGGGACCCAGGGGGAACTGGCAGGAAGGTGGAAAGATGAAATGCTTCACCCTGAAAATCCTATGTGATATTCTAAGATCTCACTAAAGGGTTAAATTAGCTGTAATCTCTTCTGGCCTTATTTGCTGCATTCAGACAAGCAAGACAGATAACCTCACCCTTCTGCATTCCAGTTTTCCCCCTGAGCAGAAAAATGGGCTTCATGTCAGCAAAGAAACTGAGGCTGCCCCATTTCTGGGGGTATGTACCCAATTTCCATTATATCTTAGAGTCAGCTGTCCCTGCACCTGTGTGAGACATGTTGGCTGTCACCTCTGCTGCTGGGGGTGATGAGCTCTCTGAGGCAAAGGGCTCTTCCAGCCCTCGGTGGTGATTGTCTGTGTCAGAACTTTCTCCCTCCTCCTCCTCCTCATTCTTCTTCAGATCTTGGTCACTGTCATCATCATCATCATCATCATCATCTGCTGCTGCATTGTCCTCAATCACTTCAACCCTCTCTCCAGCCTCGGGGTCCACATCAGTCTTAAACCACACAGCTTTGTAGCCATCATCTGCCAAGTGCCTGTCTGTTTTGAGGATTGACTTCACTTCTTTCTCCTGTCCAGCCTCTTCTTCCTTTTCTTCCTCTTTCTCTTCCTGGTCAAAGGTGACAGTGGAAGCTGTGGAGCCCTTTGGGAGACTGTCTGTTTCCTCTGCACCAGAGGAGTACAAGGCAAGTGCTGGCTGCTCTGGCACAGGAGGCTCTGCCTGGACACTGCTGGTTTCTGATGGCTCATGCTGCTTGGTGTTCACATAAGGCTGCTCATCTTCCTGGTAATATTCATTCTGGTGACCTCCAGAGATCTCCATGGTGAGCTACAGGAGGAGAGACACATTGTGACTGTGACAGGAAAAGAAATGGGGGGCAGGAGGGAAGGGGTGGCTGCAGTGACTGAGCTCCTGTTCAGGAAAATTGGTTTGCAGAAAGACCTATTTGAAGCCAGGGAAAGATGGAGATCCTTGGAAGAAATATTTTTTTATTGGCTCCATTTCTGGAGTTTTCTCAGATGAGTGGATTTGTTCTCCAGGAGGGCTGAGGACCAGCACCACACACATGGTGATTTGTACCCACCCCATTCTGCAGTGGGATTTCCCTCACTCAGGGTGAAGGACTTTTGCTACCCACCTGAGCTATGTGCTCTGCACTCAGGGCTAGGCTCCTGGCAGGCCCAGCCTATGGCACAGATCAACATCTGGTCAGACAAATTACACCCTAAACTTCCCAGTGACCAATCTGCCAGGGACTTGAGATGTCCAAAATTAAATAGCTCAGATGCAGACAAGTGTCTGGGCCTGGGCTTTGGGATCAGATATGAAGGGACTCCTCTCCTTTGACTAGGGAGAATGAACCACAGTCAGGTGTTTTTCAGAGACTGCCCCTGATGTGTGCCACGTTTATCCTAGATTTTGTGCTCCATGGAGCTGTGGTGCTCTTCTTACCACGTCTGCCCCTCATCCATCACACAGCTCCAGCCTCAGGGGCAGAAAGAACAGCAGCAACCACCACCAAAGTGATGCCACCTCTGCAAACTTCATCTCAGGAGTGGTTCACCACCCTCACACCAATGTGTGGTACTTGGGCAGCCCATCCACACTTCCTCAGATCCCACTTTCTAACTCTCAGAAGTTCAGGTACAAACAAGACACTGACCTTTTTCTTCATCAGGTATTTGACAGGTTTCCTGTACCATCTACTGGATTTCCATACCAGCACTCCAAGGAAGACTAAGGCAATTAACAGCAGTGCTGCTAATGTGCCCCCTAAGATAGCCATGTCCTGAGCAGAGTACATCTTGTCAGAGGGGGTCACAGCTGCAAGGAAAACAAACCAGTGTTAGAAAGCCTGAAAGTGGCAGGCAGCATTTTCCAACACAACCCTTCACTGTGGGAGAAGCTCCAACCAACTTTTGAAAGGCAAGGAAGCATCCTGTGCTGCAGAATGTGACAGTCATATATGATACCACAGAAAATCGTTTTTTTGCTGAGGGCAAAAAAGCAGAGGGCTTCTTTTGTTATTACACAGAATATTGTCATTTCCAATAAATTCCATGAAGTGGAAATAGCAGCCATTTACAGGACGGTGACTTTTACCCCGTGATTTAACTAAGTTAATAAAAACCTGACTGCATCAGGCAAGCATTTGCTACATGGAGTAAAGCCACTTAGTTCTTTGACTTTCCCACGTTATCCTTTTACACTACACCCTTCTACTGAATGCAAAAATGAGATTTGATTGTACACCTGTGTGTGAAAATGCAAAGTTTCCTTTCATTTGGAACATCCCCTCCAATACAGATGAGCACAGCAAAATAAGCAACAAAAAGTTGGAATAGGAAATAGGAAAAGCATTAGAAAGTCCCCAGGACAATAAAATGTTTCCTGCCCTTTTGTAGCTGTTTTCCCCAGTCTGCTCATGGTCAGTGCCACTGGTCAGTGTTGGGTGGCTGTACAGAGATTGACACCAGAGTGGAAAGACAGTACCATTCTCAGCTTTGCTTGGTGGTGGTGGTGGTGGTGGTGGGATTATTAAAGTTTCCCAGCTTCATTTTGTAGTATAAATTACTCTCATTAATGATTAATGAAACAAGGTTCTGTTCTGCTGCTGACTTGTTTATGATAATGGAATTGGAGTATTCCCTCCGCATTGGATTCTGCCCTCAGTTTATCATTAACACCTTGGCAAGGATTCAGGACCACAGTGAATTTTTGCTGCTTAATCTTGTCTCCTGGGGAGCCACAGCCCACAGACAGTCACAGAGCTGTGTAATTCTGCATATTCAACAGCACCATTGCTTTGTGTGACTTAAGCAGCAGGGGCAACATTTCAAAGTTGCCCAGAAGTGTTGGTACATGCTTGGAGCATTTGTAACTCTGTGAGCTCACATATGGACTAGTTTCATGATGGGCTGTGCCCTTAAATGGGGTTTTAGTGGCTTTTAGCTATGAAGTGACACTACCTTTAGAGAATCAATCCAAATTTAGACCCAGGAGCCCATTTGTTTTTCCCACCCCACAAAGGTGGTGATGAGAGGGTGAAGTGATGGAACTTCAATCGCACATCATTGTGTAGAACCCAGTGAAGCCTGGGCATTGTCTGCCTATCCTGAGATAAAAATTCATTGCTATTGGTCCATCTTAAAGCATAAAAGTCTCATGCACTTCAATCCTAATTTATTTATAAGACCAATTTAAGAGTCGTTTCTCAGCAGCATGGAAGTGTGAGCTGTTTTTACATCGACAAAGTTAAACAGTAGCTGGAGGGTTACACAGGGAGCCTCATGTCTCTCTTAGTACTCATGGGCTGTTTCTCCTGTAAGACCATAAAGTCCTGATGTGAAAGACCCTGACCTGCCCTGAGCAGAAATGCCTTGGCTCATGGGCAAGCCTGGCTTTGGGGTGTGCCAGCTGCCCTCTGCTCTGCCTAAGACAAGTAAGAATGGCTAAAAAGGAGCAATGATGTGCCAAGGTCTCCTTTGCCATGATAAGACATCCTGGGTTATTTCCCAGCATGAACCAAGCCCAGATTTAGCTCTGGAAGAAGAAAAGACACTCCCATACGCAGCACCACTTGAAGTCTCAGGAGGCTTTTTGAGGCATGTGGTGACTCTGCTGTGTGTTGGAGTCTAGGACACAGAGTGTGTGCACAGATGCTCAGCTCTGAGATCCAGATAAACATTGAATTTCATATAATATGAAATTTATGAGCATGTTTTCATGTGATACATGAAAACAACTGTTAAAGTTAAATAGAAAAGCTAAAAGTGTGAGTGTGTAGATTAGAGAGTTTTCTTAAGTCACGTGGTGAAAAATTTAAAGTTTAGAGTTTAAGCTAGTTTAGAAAGAAGAAAGCAAGATGAAGGATTTAGTCTGTTGTTTCTTTTCTTTCTTCTTTCTTCTTCATGTTCTTCTTCTAGAGGTTTTTGGGTGATAGTAGGTGATTGGATAGAAAATGCTGCAGTGCAGCACACAAGTGATAGGTCATTGTGTCATTAAGAAAAATAATATATGTGTCTATTGTTAATTGGATAAGAATAAATATAAAGATAAAAGAGCTGCATAGTTCAAGGCCATTTCGTGCCTTCAAAGCACAAAGTGAGCCACAAAGTGAGCCACAAGGCTATTTTGTACCATCAGAAAGAAATGAGCCAAGTTGCAGTGAATTGAACTTGTGCAGAAAGTCTGGAGGGACCTGACAAGTTTTGTGATAACATCCTAATAAACACAACAAACGAGATCCTGACGACCTTTGGAGTTTTTGTCCTGACTTGGAGAACTGTGATAACTGTGAGGAGGTATCCCCAAGAAGCTCAGCTCAGAGGAGACTGAGAAATCCAGGAATGAAAGGAAGTGCAGAAGAAGGACAGCAGCAGAATCAAAAACGAGAAAAAATAAACAAATAATTTTAAAAAGTTATACTGTGAGGATGTTGTTGGGGTGTTTTGCCTCTTAAAGCCACCACAGAGCCTCCTGTAGGGTTGGAGTTGGCCTCAGCCCAGGCCCACAGGCTTCAGCAAGTGACCCATCATGGCCAGTTTGCCACAGAAATAGAAAAGACTCCCCAGAGCAGAAAACAGAGACCTTCCCAGCCTACCTGTGGCAAGGATGACTTCAACCACAATTATGGTGCTTGCCTCCTGCAGGCTCAACACATCTTTTCCAACAGCCTGTGGGAACATGGGAAAGAGATGGGCTTAGGGACTTCAAGATCTCCAGAGCACTCTCCAGTTCTGTGGGGGGCCCTTTGAGGAGAAAGTACCTTGTCCCTATCCTCAGCACATCCATTCACTGTGGCTGCACAGCCTGGTCACAGGGGGACAAGAGCTCTGAAGATTCCCTGCCCTGGGAATGGATGAGCTGAACCACATCCCTGCCCTGTGTTCAGTTCCCAGCACAGTGCAGAGCACAGGTTCTGAGGCAGTGTGGGGCAGGAGCAGCAGGTTGGACCTCTCTGTGCCTGCCTGTGGATCCAGCAGTGCTGTGGCCAGGCTGGGCCAGAATCTCCACGGGGCATGGCACTGTGCCAGGCAAGCCTTAGGCAGGTGTGTGGACAAAGGGAACATCCAGCTTCTTACAAGTCTAAAGTTAGTGACTGCTTCCTTTGACCCAAGCAAAAAGGGGTCTGAATTCCTGCTTCTTTCCACACCCCTGACAAAATACCCAAGACAGGTGCCCTACCTGGATGGTCACAGTTCCTGGGGACTCCAGCACTATGTTGGTCAGGATGAGCCCATCCCTGGTTGCAATGAAATCAGTGCTGTTTTTGAGGAAATACTCAATGTTGGGGTTGACTTTCTGAAAGGTCAGAGAGCAGGTGATCAAACCACACTGTGCTTCACATGCATCCTCCCAACAACCCCTTGGCAGGCTTTGTCCAAAATACCTGAGGTGTTCTGAGGACAGGTTTTAAAGGAGCAGGTGTGGAGAGTAATAAATAAACCTGGGCTGAGCAGGTGAGAAAGGATGAACTCAACTGTGTTCACATTGTTGCTCAGAGGCCAAGAAAGCACCACGAAAATATTAAAAAAAAAATAAAAATCTCAAGTCTTAACCCAGCTTTTGTTGGCAACTTTAGTACTTCCCCAAGGAAAGCACACCTATGCAAGTGATCTGTGTGGGACTGGCTTTGGAAGAGGGAAGTCCAGCAGCTTCTCCCCATTACATCACACCATAAGTGGTTCTGGTTTCTGTGGAATTTCCAAGGGAATATAACATGGAACACTAGAGGACAACATGTGTTTGCCTCTCCCCACCTCCCCTCCCTTGTGTTTCCTGATCCTGCTTTAAGCCTGAAGCAGTGAGACAGAACACAGAGCACTTTTAGTTTCTTACATCAGGGAAATCCTGATCCATTGCTGTTATCACCAGAGGGGTGGAAGGATCTCCAGCTTGGTAGACAAAGCTTCTCTGGGGCAGCCCAACAAACACCATCCCGTTGTAGACCCCCTTCTCAAAGTAGGGTGGAAAATTGCTTTTATTGATGACCTTGATCTCTACAGTGGCTACAGAGTATTTCCTTATGTTGCTGACCTGGGCAGCCTGCAGAGAAAGAGAGAGAACTGCCAGACTTCTCCTGCCCCTGATGAGACACTAAAGGACAGGCTGGATCTGGAGCCTGTTGCAATTCCCAGCTCAGCAGAATGTGGCCAGGGTGAATTTCCTTTGCTGTCACCACCCACACCTGAGGGGAAACTCTCAACTGCTGCAGGAGTTTCGCATGTGGATTGGTGCAAGACATAGGTCAAACACTGGGCCCTTCAAAAGAAGGGAAGTAACCAAGTAATTACTGAGGTCACTGATCCCCATCACACCCAGCTCAGTTTCCTGGAAATCCAGCTGAGCTGGGTGGCTGGCTGTAATGTCATCACTTACCATAACTTGCAACAAAAAGGAATCTGGGGAAGTCACTATTTTGTTCATGGTTAGATTCCCTGTGTCTGCATCCACTGAGAACACGTTGTCTGTATTACCTAGAGAAAATACAAAGACCATTCAAACATCAGATTCCTTCCTAAAGTGACCTGGAGCTCACAGACTCATTTCTTCCACATCTTAGTGAAAATACCCTCAAGGAATCTTCCTTGGGTAAATACCATTTAGCCAAGGAAAAATGCTGCTTTCCTTGCCTGCCTGGCTGCTCCAGAGACTGGGAGTGATGGCCAGGGATGCAGAGGGACACATTAGATGTGTGTGAACCCAATTAAATGAGGCAGGACAACAAAGCTTTGCATTTCCAGTGCCTAGGCCCACAGATTGCCAGTGTAAAGTGTAATAAATGCCCAGAGCCTCTGGTACAATTTTAGGACTGAAAATCTTCATCCAGTTCCCAGTCTGCTCTGGGAATGCTTATTTCTCTCTGCTGATTACAAAGGGAGTCTAGACACAAACTTTGTATTTATGTACAGGTAGAAATCAGATTCCTACATCTGTGTGGGAATCATAACAGTACCTATGTTGGATACATGTTGTAAGATCAGCAGAATTTTTAGTTCTTTTCCTCACCCTGGGACACTGTGGGCTCTCTGTTGACAAGGATGTGAGTCACTGACTGTGGAGAGGGTAGCCAAAATGCCAGTGGAATTTAATGTTCTTTAATACATTTTAATACATTTTTAATACATCTTTAATACAGTTGTGATATCAGGAGAATATCACAACTGTGGTGCCATGAGGCATAATAGATAAAGGGAGAGGAACACTCCACTTTACCAATATGACCTTTGCTTTGATCCTTTTGAAACCGAGACTAAAACAGGGAAGATGAGATAGTGGCAATGTGCTAGGGAATAAAAACACAGTTCTGGGCAATGAATAGAAATTAGGCTGATAATGTGGGAATTTTAGGTTCAGCTCAAACACTGCATGAAAATAGCATGATCAGATTGACAAAATCACATTTAAAACTTAAAGATAAAACATGTCTCATCTCACAAAAAAACAAAGTCTTTTTGAAACATTTCACTGCGACCAGTTGGTGGGACTGTGATTATTTTTTTCTTCCTCTCTGTACAGTCTGTTTCCTCTACTTAATCATCAATGTTCTGTGGCTCTAGTTTTGTCTCTGTGGCAGAAATCCCAGGCCCTCCCTCAAGTGCTCTTGGCAGGTAGCACAGGAGACATGAGCAATGTCCCCTGTGGAAGGTGACAAGACCTACTCACCCCCAACAATGCTGTACAGGATCCTGTCACTGATGGTGTAGTCAGGGTCTATAGCATAGATGGGCCCTGGCTCCAGGAGAAGTGGCTCTGTCTGCAACAACAATTCAAACAATCACACACCACAGGCCAGGACCAGATCTGGAGCTCTCCCAGCCCAGTGCAGATGCTGTGGCTCTGCCTGGGCAGGACAGAATCTGGTGCCAGGGCAGAGGTGAGACAGCCTTGAGCTGGTGTTCCAGCTCTTGCCTCTCCTGTGATGTGCTGTAGGAGCAGAGAGAAGCAGTGCTGCTTGGGATGGGGGTCTGACAAAGGCTCCCTGTTCTGCTGAACCATCTGGAGATGGTTACACTGGAGACCAGCAGAAGCTCATGGAAATGTTTCAGTGCTTCCCACTGGGAACAGCATCAGGGGCACTGTCTGAGCCCTCTGCTCACCGACATCTCGGAGATGTTGACCCTGCCAGAGTAGGGGCTGCTGATGCAGACGCTGGCGTCATTGTGGATCCGGGTGCAGGGCAGGAACCAGGGTGCCCGGGTGTCACTCTGCTGGATGGTGATGGTTATTGTTGCAGTGGCATTGTTGCTGGGCTCGGGGCTGGTCACAGGCCTGTCCTGCCCCCAAGGCAAAGCACACTCGTGAGACACAAGTTTCACTGCCAAAACAAGGCCCCATCTGCTAAAAGCAGTGGCCTGGGGCCCTTTAGCCACTGTCACTCCAATCTGTTTAATTAGCAATTTATGTGAGGGAAGCTAAAGCAGTAGGTTATCTTGTTCTGCTGACAAAGGTGGGCTGACTGCAGGTCTGTCACTGGAATTAATGGACAGGGAAAGGCTGCTCCAAATGCACCCCCCCCCCCCCCCCACACCTAATCCCCACCCTCCCTCCTGTTATCCCAGAGATGTCCCATCCAGACTCATCCTTCAGGTAAGAGGGACCATGCAAAAGAGACATTCTGTTCTTCCCAAACCACTTACCCTGGCATACAAGAGCAACGTTGTCGAAGTAAATTTGTCATAGTCCAATGTTTTTTGTAAATAAATTTCTGGGTTATTAGCTCCTCTTATGGCAAAATAACCATCTGTGTCCTGGTAAGGGAAAAGAAAAACTCCTATAGCAGACTCATTCACAGACACATTCCAAATCCTGCTCATTGCTGTCTTTGTCATCCCTACTGGACCTTTAGTCCTGGAGACCTGGATGAAGGACACTGTGGGAATGTCTGATCTACTTAATCTTTGGTACTGCACACTGCAGTTGCCTGGCTTATCAGAAAAGTTTGTTCTTGTGAATTTCCTCTCCCAGACCTCCTGCTTTGACTGCCCATCTGCTCAGCAGCTTCTGGATGAAATTTTCAGATAAAATCTATCACCTCATTTATTTCCTACTTCTAGGAAGTTGCCAACAATCCTTGATTTTGAGTCCCTAATAGCCAAGCAATCTCACTTCCATGCACAGAAAAGGTCAAAGATGGTTCAGCCTTTGAGAGCTGGCAGGATCACCCACCTTAACCTAACACAGCCGAACTTTGAAAGAAACTAAAGCTGAGTTGAAATACCATGCATTGCATTTTACTTTATAACCTTCCACACTTGCTTTGGTTCTCCATTAATCTCATGTATATGAATTTCTAAATCCCTCTGAACTTACACCAATGTGACTGCAAAGTCTGATCCCAGAGCTGAAACCTGGTGGTTTCTGCTCACAGGAACTTAAATTCCCTGAGGATATTAAAGCACTGACTGCTCTTTCCACAATGCATTTCAAAAGTGCAAACAAACATTTGGCTTTTCTCTTGAATTTCCTTTTGATTTGAGTTTACAGCCAGCTCTTGTGCTCTAGACTGTGATTTTACTGTGTGCACAATCCATTTCCTGTGCTGCTGTTGGCAGGCAGGGCAAGGACTCCTTTCCCCATCTGACTCAGCGCAATTCTGAGTTCCCCGAGGTACAAAGGTCTCCTGATATGTTTACAGATCATACCAGCAAGGCTTCTCTGAGTCATTATGGCTCTGAATATCCTAGATTAAAGTTTAATCTGTACAGTGCATTAAAAATGTGAGCCATAAGAGAATTCAATACCTGCAGCATTGATGGCTCTGCTCCACTAACCAAATCAATGTTTGGAGTTTGTAAAAGCTGAGAGAACTAAATGCAGTGATCTTCTCCTCAAAGCTGGGGTTCTTCTGCATCCAGCTTCTCTAGAGCTACAGTTTGTCCCCAGAGATGCTCACCTGCACTGTAGTAGTGAGTTCATAGTAGATGGTGTCCAGGTCAGCATCAGTAGCACTTAATTCTTCACGGGCTACAATAGCTGTGTCTACTTTTGTATCCTGAAAAAAACACATTGTTGTAGTTATTGTTTGTGTGAAATTGATTGAAGCCCTCTCCCTCTTGACCCTTCCTCAGTCCCACAGTACCCAGAGAGCAGTGCCCTCTTCCCTTCCAAAAACCCCTTACCTCTGGGACATCCCTGGTGATGTTTGGCTGTGCAAACACGGGGCTGTTGTCGTTCTCGTTCAGAATGGTGACTAGGATTTCCAAGGAATCAGTCTGGGCAAATTAAAGAATCAAATTAAAGGATCAAAGACAAAAACAGACTGTTTGGGCTCAACCTGCTTTGCAGAATGGCCAGAGGGGATGGTGTAAGGATGGGGGCTGAATGGGGCTGGGTTTGTGGGCTTGCTGCCACCTCCTCCTCAGTGGCAGAGCCTTGGCTCTCTCTGTGGCTATGAGAGCAGCGTGTCTGTCCACAAAGAGAACATCTGCCCATCCCAATGTGAGGATTAGGAAGAGAAGAGGGAAGCAGGTGCTGCCTGCAGTCCCAGGGCTCAGTGGTGGGAGAGCACTCACCTGGCCAGCAGGGTCCTTGCAGATCAAGTACAGCAGCAGCACAGGGTCTTCCTGCATGAAAAACAAACCCACCCACAGTAAAAACAGCCCAAGAGTACAAACTCTGGCTAAAGCAAATGAGCCAAATCCATGCTTTGATGAATCAGAAATGCTGCTGGGCTTTTATCTTATTTTCAGGAGTATCTAACTTTTCCTTTCTTTCCTTAATGCTGGGGTCTTGTTTATGAGGATATCAAAGCAGCCCCATCTTCTAGGCGCTCTCCCTGCAGTTTCTGTAAGTTGTTGGCAGAGCTAATCTGCCATTCTCTCTCACCTCAGGTGAATTCTAACAGATTTCTTTTAAAATTGAATAAATCAGAAACATTCTATGCAGCAAGTACAATGGCACCTGCATGGTGTTAGCTCCAGTTGTTGCTCTTCACACAAGTAAAAGTGGGGGTTTACATTAAAAGGGAGCTTAAGGATGCCTGTGGCTGTATACAAAGCACTCCAGGGAGCTAAAATAATTTAGCAGCAACCTAAGTGAACACAATGACCTTTCATACTGCCTTTCTGCTTCACACAAGATGACAGAATCCCAGAATGATTTAGGTGGGAAAGGACCTTAAAGCTCATCTCATTCCAACACCCTGCTACAGGCAGGGACACTTTTCACTATCCCAGGCTGCTCCAAGGCCCATCCAACCTGGTCTTGGACCCTGCCAGGGATGGAACAGCCACAGCTCCTCTGGGCAACCTGTGCCAGGTCCTCATCACCCTCCCAGGAAAGAATTTCTTCCCAATATCCCATCTAACCCTGCCCTCCAGCAGTTTGAAATCACTCCCCCTTATCCTGTCATTCTAGGCCGTTATAAATGGTCTCCATCGTTTTTTTTAAGCTCCCAAACTCACACAACTGAAATAACTTATTCCCTTTAGAAACAGGTTAAGAATCCCTGGAAGCCCAAGGCTCCAGGTTGAAACTGATTGCATCCCAGCATTATCCATCCCATCCTTACAGCCCTGCCAGCTAAAGTCCTACCTCATAGTCCACACACTTTGTCAGCTTCAGCTCCAAGCCCTCAATGGCGAAGAATTGGCCATCAGGGAAATTGGGGTCAATTGTTAGGGTGAAACCTGGCTGCATGTGGACACTAGTCACCACATAAGGACATTTATTTTCAGGGACACTTGGTTTGTTGTTATTGACAGAACATCCTAGAAAAAAACACAAATAAGATGCAAAATTGCCCAAGGATTCACATTGTGAAGGAGCTGGGGGAGAGATGTAGTCACAAGCTGTGGAGAAAAGGTGTCTTGGAGCGTAGCAACACCCCACCTGTAACAGGGTCACCCCCTCCCATGGGAAACATTCCTCAGAGACATGGACCTCATCAAAGAGCTTACCTGGTTCCTGTGCCAAAACCTGTGCCAGGAGGGGCAGCAGAAAGAGCGCAGACATGAGGAGCCAGTGAGGAACAGCCATGGTGAGCTGCCAGTTGCTGAAAAATCCCTTTTTCCAGCTAAGCTGATCTTCTCCCTGTTCCGCCCTGTGCCCTTGTCTGCGTTCACCACTTTATGGCACCAAGAAACACCGGCTGGCTGTGGATTGCCGTGGTTCAACCTTTGCCTCTTTGCCCCATTGGATGACTTATTGAAGGGCTCACCAGTCAAAGAACAGGATTACACATAAATCCTCGCTGCTTCTTTTTTCCCTGGATCTTTCCTATCCTAAACTCTCTGTGGCAACGAGGATATATTTGAAGCAGTTCAGAACTCAGAGCCAAGCCCTTGCCCAGCTGAGCATGAAGGACAAGGGCTGGTACTTGGGAAGCTGTCTGTGTACTCCAGGAAGGGACACAGGGAAGGTGGAAAATTTGTTTTCTGATGTGCCAGAGTTGGGGTCTGTATCACATAAGGTGAGCAAGTGGATCCCAGCAGTGACGAGGTTCACCTGCAGTCCAGGAAATGTCCAGCAACTTTGTAGGGAAAACATATCTCCTACTGGTGGCTGATCCTTGTAGAGATGCTTCCCAGAATCCCCTTCCAGGAGTTCCACACCAGGAAATCTTCAACTATTTGAATCTCAGCAGCTTCCTGAAGTTTTCAGGGGACATCTGCTCTCACTGATCTTTTAAAATTCTTTCTGATTTCAGGAAGTTGTCGGATGCTGCACCTCATCCAGGTGGTTTTTAGCAGCTTAATGAAATCTAGGCTGTCAGTACTCCTTCCAAAAGCATTCCAAAAGGAATCTTACCTAGCAGAGATTTCCTATGGACCAAAATGAATGACTGCCAAGGTTTGTTCAGCTCCTCAGTAAGGGAATGGTACTTAGGTGTGTATTTGAGTAGGAACAGCTCCTTTTGCAGGTGTCAGATCTCTCATAGATGGTGAAAACTGCCAGAGCAGGATGGGCTGGGCAGGGCTGCACAGCACAGCACAGGATTGCAGCTAAAGATCCTTATTTTAGAGCTTCTCTCCAAAATCCACTGGTTTTACAGGAAAGCTGGCGTGGCTGTTCCATCTGCCTGTGTGGCACAGGGACAGCACATAAACCTCAGTAAGTGGGGGGAACAAATTACTCCCCGTGGAGCTTTGTCTTTAGTGGCTCTGAGGAAACTGGGCCACCAACTCCAGGGACAGAATGGAGAGGAAACAACTTCTACAGTGAGTATCTCTGCTGTGTAGCTCTCAGAACATTTCTTTGCCATGAGACCTAACATGTGCCTTTGTTCCTGCTACATGGAGCCCTGATTCTGACCTCTATGCACAGCTGCACTGTAGGCACTCCCCAGTCCCAGCCATGTGTACCACCATGCCTCCAGTAGGGGAATCCTGGCAAAATGCTCCTCTCCTAATAATTCCTAATTATTCCTAATAATCCAAGACCTTGTAAAGGAACCACCCTTATTCCAGTTTCCCAAAGAGCAGCCAAGGCACAGGTACAGTTAACCATTTTTATTTGGGATCAGCAGCAGGCAGTCAGATGCCAACACAGAGTGGAGGGATGTGCTTCACCCAGGCTCCATCTACTGACAGCAGTACACACCCACATACATTTCACTTTGCATAATCTCAGAGGTTTCATTGGTTTTTTACTGCTTTCCAGGATTATTTTTATTTATTTGCCTGTCTCAAGAGTTTTTCCTAAGCAAGAGCTTCCCTGTTTATTTTCAAGGCCATACATGTGCAAAGCTGTCTCCTTGGCTGTTTCTTTCCCTCCACCTTCATTCAGAACCATCTGTATCTTCTGTCACATCTGCAAACAGCAGCTTAGAGAAGGGGCAAAGATTCTGGCTGGTAATGGCAGCAGCCTCCCTGGCATCTCTGTCCGAGCGGCTGTGGGAAGGGAAAAATCAGGGATAGTCCATTATTTCTGGCAGCATGGGCTGCAGGAAGTGTGACAAGGCCACCTTGTGACATTCAAGGATGACTCCAAGGAGCAGGTGTATGATAGAGGGATCATAGCTGCCTGCTGCCAGGCATTCTACAAATGCATAGTGGTGTTTCACCCCCATTGTGGACACAAGAGGTACTAAGGGCCAGCTTATTCCTGCTAATTACAGTGATTTAAGAAAGAGATATGTAAGGGAAAGTTGTTGGGCATTAGGAAAAGACAATATCCAGGTGCTGGGACAACCCATCTTGAGATGTGTTTTTCAATCAACACCTGAATCCAGACAGGGTAGCAAAGGCTTTCTTTCAATTTTAACCATTACATCACATTTCCTAATGGGATGAATAATTGCTTCAATCCAGAATGACAACTCTTAGGAAATGGTTAAGAAAAGATATTATTTTGCTTCCCTGGGTTTTACTGGTTTTAACAACTGATTTTTCTACAGCCCTTCATAAAATTCCTCTTTTGGCTTCAGTATTGTGGGGCTCAGAGTCACAGAGGTGACCAATCTCTCCCACCTACCTGGTGTTCAGAAAGCTCTGGTACAACCAATAAAAACAAAGTTCCTCAGGGTTGTTTACTCCTTCTCTCCCCTGCATGTCTGTGTTGACCGGGCCAGGAGAGCTGGTTTAGATGAAGATAATTAATAATAATAATCAAAAACCCCAAACCACCACCACTGCAGGGCAGCACTTGCACCTTGTGTTGTATCTGCTGCTGTGCTCACAGACACGGCCTCAGTGGGAGCTGCTGGCCCAGTGTGGCAGTGAGAGGTGGGGACAGGGACACCAGAGGTTTCCTCTCACCTGCGCTTGCGGCCCATGAGGCTTTGGATGAATTTCTGAACCTGGGCGTTGCCTCTCATCTTGCTGTACTCACTGGTGAACAGCCCATCCGAGTGCCTCTGGGACCTGCGTGGGGACAACGTGGGACAGCACCTGCACCTCCCAGCCACGGCACGTCCCACTGGGGACTTCCCTGCCCCAGGAGGGTGGCTGTGGCTGGTCCTCACCTGTCCTTGAGGCCCACCAGGTGCTTGACCAACTGCTGCACGTAAGCGTTGCCGTTCATCTTGCTGAGTTCGCTGTGGAAGAGTCCGTCCGCGTGGCGCTCCGTCCTGCATGTTGGAACAGGGAAGGGGGAGGTCAAAAGGAATGGTTTAAAAGCAGGCAAGAACAGGCATTAAACACTGCTGCCTCAAGGCAAGAGAGTCCCAAACACACATGGGCAAGAATTTGTGTTGTTTTGGCAAAGTTTCACCAAAAACAGGAAAAAAAGGGGAGTTTTAAAAATATCTTTGTTAAACATCACACAGGAAAACGACCTGCCCTTGCTTTTGCTGATGTGGGAATGTGAGGTTACTGATGATTCAGCACAAAATAGCAGGGCAAGAGGCTGGAGAAGTAATGAACAAAGATCCAGAGACACAAACATGAAGAGCACTTAGATAAGGGCATTGAAGACCAGCCCTTGCAGGCGACTCCCTTGGTGAACTTGGTGAACTTACAGGGTTGCCTATTTCTGGTTATGTTTTCATGGGACCATGCTATTTGAAACAGAAGCTCTCACCTTTATCAGGCTGTGCAAGTGCACAGGAGAAAAGCAGACTCAAAAGTGGTTTTGTAATTGTGTTTTGTTTTGCAGTCACAAATTTCCTCCCAGATTAAATAAAATTAACGTTTCAGTTCTTAAGCAAGAAAAAAACATTTACAGTATTTGCACTCATTTAACTAAATCTGTTTAGGGGAGAGGAAGATTCACAAGCAAGCAGATTAAGTTCAGGAAGGCAGCTAAAAGGCTGGGTTTTCAGCTAGCAGGCTCTTTGAACAAAAACCACAGAGAAAAAGAGAGCAGGGTCCCAAGAAATGCTTACCTCTCCCAGGGTGGCAGAGATGCTGAGAAGTGGGAAAGGACAATCATGGGAATAATTACTTGCCACAGAGCTGTCATCATGGAAACCATGTTGTCTCCTGAAACAAAGCCTGAGGTTTTGTGAGTAGCAGGACAAGTGACCCTGGTGTGTATCTGGTGCAGTTCATGTGCCCCACTGAGATGGGGCTGTGGAAACACCACCACTGTAACTAAATAAGGCAGGAATTCCTGCCAGCAGAGATAAACACCTGAGGACATCTGCAAGGGGCTTTCAGAAAAAAAAAAAATAAAAATCACATGTGCTAAATAAAATTCATTCACATATAGAGGAAGGGCTCATGTGTGTGCCCATATCCATGTATCCTCTAACCTTTCAAAAAGGAAAAATGAAATAACACAGATTTGCAGTCACAGCAGGCCCTCCTATTTTGTTTTCTTGCTGAAATAAAAAGTACTTTTGTTTATCACCAGCCATGGCACATTTCTACCCTTTATTCGCAGGTGCTCACCCTTCCTCAAGGATCACACAGCAACTCTACCTGTAATTTATAAATACACTCCTTTATTTTTTGCCTTCCTCCTGCAAAGAAACAAACCTCCATCACTGCCCTGCAATCTCTCAAGACAGCACTTTGCTAACCCCAAATCAAAGTCCTCCCACTTGGTTTTTACTTTATTCTGAAGCTAAACAGTACAAAGAACATGAAAGGACTGTCTGAGAATTCTGAACACCTTCTAGCCACCCTTCTGGGATTGTTTGCTGCTCTGGAGGTGCTGCAAGATGAGAAGAGGCACAAGGAGAAAGGACAAGAGTGAGGGACTTATACAGAAATTTATTCACTGTAAACCACAGGGTAAATATTTAATGGGGGCTGCAGAGCAAACAGATGAGAGGATGAAGGTACCATAAGCTTAATCTCACACAGACTTGGAGCTTTAGTGTTGTTTTTTCCTGCCTGATCCATCTTTGAGGGGATGGAATAGTGAAAGAAGAAGGACATTTCAAAGATCAGCATCTTACTGGAGTCCAAACAAGGCAGACTCCACAGCCCTGGGATGCAGGAGGAGCTGAAAACAGCCACCAAAACCAGAGCATCCTTGGGCAAGGGGAGCCTGAATCCTGAGCCTGTCCTCCCATCTGCCCAACAGCTGTCACACAATCCCTTGACCCCAGGATCTCATCTCAGCATTTGGCCTCCCCTGGGCTGGCACCCCTC